CGCTAAGATGCAAACCTTTACGTTTTATTGGTTATAATCGATACCTATATTCACGTACATGTATCCAGAGCAGGCTAGGTCCACTCCATTTAGCGCCTTACCTTGGCACTTGTTTTCCTTTCCGACAAATTATCAGGTCTGTGGCCTTTAACTGACAATTCTACATACTAAACTCTTAAAACAGCGGAAAATGTAATTGAAAAATGTTCGTTTACTCCTAAAAAAGGAATTTTTTCGTTAATGTGAAAGAGAAAAAGAAAACTTTCAGAGATAGCATTATATATCTATATGTGTATTTGTACGTTATAGCTGTAATCTATGGTACATACAAAATTTTGACCAATTAACCTCCTGTGGTTCTAAATACATTCGAGAGAAACATACCATTGTAAATAAGGTTATATTAAATTTATTTTACACTTAATTACAAGCAAAGAACATAAACTCAATTAAATTTAATCAATTTTAGTCTAAATGGATTAACATGCTGTTCTGGATACACGTATAAATGGAATCAAGAAACGAAATCCTGCACATGTAAGTTCATGGTGTATTTAACATATGTTTTTTTTTGTCTCATAGCTAGAATTGAAGCTAGTTTTTGTTTTTCAGAAAACACACTATTTTATTTTAAAAATTGTTTATAACTGGCCTTTGGTTTGATTATATTTTTTTTTCCTTTTTTGTACGAAATTCAGATAATTCATAATTATATATGTAATACACTATGGCATTATCATGCCATCGAAGTTTGGATCGAATACTAGTAGAGTCTATGTGATAAGGCAATGTTGCAATGACGATGAATGTACAATGCGATCGCAAGATGACGATGATGGAATGCGCGAAAACATGATGTCATCAGCATTATCGTGATATCTCTTCATATTGTCGAATCATTGCACTATTGCTGCATCGCTTCATCGGTTTCAAACCATCGCGTCTTCAAGCTAATGAACTACATGTCCTATACGGACTTTTGATGCAGTGTTTCGACTTTTTGGTCATTAAATTGTAGCAAAGGAATTCACTTTATTTCTCTGAAACATTATGATAAAAAGTCTTCCCTCATATATTGTTTATTATTTATGACCCCTGACAATTCTATGTTAAATCAAAAACAAAATCCTACATACTTTTTTTCAAATAGTATGTGAAGTTGGATTCCACGGTCCAGATTGTACAAAACAATGTGTACCACCATCGTTTGGAAGAGAGTGTTAGTTACTCTGCAACTGTAGCAATAACGATTGTCATCATGCTTACGGTTGTGAAATGCGTAATGAAGGTATTCTCTCTAATGTGATTATTTTAATGCTTTTACAGCAACGATACATTGTGAGGTTAGAGTATCGCTCAAATAATCACTCATCAGAATAAGTTATAAAGCTTTAATCAGTTTCTTTCTATTTTAGAAAATATCAAATTTTTGTCCGTATCAAGTGTTGTTGTCTCAACTTGAATATCGAACATTTGAAATAGGAATCGTTTCTTTTTAGCTGAATACACCATGTCCACCCACAATACACAAACACTCGTTAAAACAGAAAATGAGGCATCAACCGGGCATCATTCAAGTACAAGGAAAGGTAAAGATTTTGTTTTATAAGTAATAAAATCTTCATAACATAATTAGAACAAAATTCACTCGAATCACTAGACAAGTATTATGACTGGTATATACGAATTGCAGAGCCATCCTCATTTTTGATAATTTTGATGAAGATGAGTGTTATTAATTATTGTTAAGTTTAAAGTCTCCTCAACGTCTATGTTTCCTTTATTAATTTGATTTCTGTGACTATGTGTTGGATCGCAGGAAGTATAAAATTAATCGTTGGAATATTTAGTAAGGTTACTCTCCTACAAAGATCCGAAAAGAAAATTGCAAAATAGGGTCTTAAACTTAAAAACTTCTCTGCACTGGTAAGTGAATAACATGCTTCTTTGATGAGATCTTATAATTAAGAATCTTGAAATATGCTTTGACACAGATGAAGAGATATTAATCATAATGTTAAAGCGGGTTTTGTCTTTTACATTGCAATATTTGACGGTCTCCATTTTCTATTTGTATCGTTTTTAATCTGTTAATGTAAATTGCGATGCTTTTCTTTTGGTATAATATAAATTTTAATTAAAAAATAATTTCCAGTTCGTATTTTGAATTGTTTAATTAATTTTTACCTAAAATGAAAAAAAAATAATGAAACCCAATTCTTTGTAAATACATTAATAATAATACATGTAATGTGTATCAAAGATTTCACACATGTAATCCAATGGATGCGCAATATTATTTGGCTATATGACATCTATTAACGTATATAGTTCGGAACTGACACTTTGTTTCAAAATCATAAAACTGGAATGTTTGTACTGGGTGGGAATGGTGGAATTTATATGGTTAATCAGTTTTAGAAAGTAAATTTTAAAGTTAATAAACTAGGAGCAGCATCAGTTGAGAACCAAACACGTTGACTTCACAAATATCTTAAAAGGTATCATTTCATTTTACGAATTTTAACAATCATGATAGATAGTTTGTTTGTTGTTTAACGTCCCTCTCAAGAATATTTTACTTATATAGAAAGGAAATTTAATAACATTTTAGAATTTAATAATTCTACAATTAAATCTAAAAATTTGAACATATTTTTACTAAAGCGTTATTAATTTCAGCATTTTCACTCAATAAACATTCATCCAAACGCTGCAACGATGAAGATATGAGAAGCAAAAATCAACTGAACAGCGCACAATCTAATTCAATAACTACTGGCATTATCTGCCTTTTAGCGATTGCTGGTGTGCTTATGTTTATCTATATTGGAACATTTTTTGTAAGATGTGAGTGCAGCAATAGGACAATATCACAGACACAAAGTAATATTTGAGTTACCTTTCAGAAGATTTAAACAATCGCTCAAATAACTGAGATTTGTTTAAGGAGATGGAGCTTCACTTTTGTTCAGCTTAAATTTACCTGAATAAAAATATAATTATATATTGCTAAACAAATTATGAAAAATCTTGTACATGTTTATTTGATGAAATAATGAAAAATAGAGTTTTAAATAATTGAATTATAATGTACTGGCATTAATGGTCTGTAAGCAAGAGGTCGTTCTAGAAAATTCTGTGGAGACTAAGATCTAATATAAACGGAAATGATTTGTACATTATTTTTTTTAAATCACTTAATATTTACGTAAACTTATTTCTACTACTACAGTTATATCAAGTTTGATTGATGAATTTATGCAAAATTTAAATTTTGAGTATCTTCGATCTACCCACCATAAACACCACCTTACGTTCTTTTTTTCTTATTTCACGGCTGTTTATCGATTGATTGATTGATTACTGTTTAACGTCCCTCTCCAGAATATTTCATTGATATGGAGACGTCACCATTGCCGGTGAAGAGCTGCAAATTTAGGCCTATGCTCGGCACTAACGGCCTTTGAGCAGGGAGGGATCTTTATCGTGCCACACCTGCTGTGACACGGGGCCTCGGTTTATACGGTCTCATCCGAAGGACCGCCCCATTTAGTCGCCTTTTACGACAAGCAAGGGGATACTGAGGACGCTGTTTATCGAAGAAGAAAGTCAAATTTTATTTAATATACAATATTTATAATCTATAAAAATAAAATATAAATAAAACTTTACTGACATGCAATATCATGATTGATAATTGTTTAAAAGTCTTTTTGAGGTCTTGTGCAGGCAATTCCGATTTTATTTTCAAACTTTATTGATAGATCAACATTACTGCATTGCTTTCTATTAAATTGCTGTATAGTCATTTTTCTTTGACTATTCCCTTAAGTTTAAAATATGAAGCCACTCCTCGGCGTAAGTTTTATCTTTCTAAAAAGAATTACCGAAGAAAGTTTTTCAGATATTGAGAGATCTTACGTACAATATATGTATAATACTTTCAAAGAAAGCACTGATCAGAACTTGCATTTTTGAGTTACTGTATTATATTGTTCTTATATAACATTATATATATCAAAGTTTATTTTGAGTATGCTTGTTTTGTGTATTTTTATTTAATTGTTGATTACTCTGTTTGTCATCAAAGAGGACAAGTGGTAAGTTTTATTGACTTTCTTGAACTTGTGGAGAAAATGAACATTAATCATGCTCAAAAGTCTATCGAATCAATACAAATGGGGAGCATTTTAGCAAATACAGACCTCTATAACCATCCAAGGTGAAATCAGATACCATGGCAGTCCAGACATTCCTTTTCAACCAATAACATATGTCATTGCTCATTATCAAAATTCATTCAGTTATGTAAAGTTGGTCTGAAGACTTCAGTAAACATTCGGTTAAACGATAAATTGTACATGCTGAAAAAAAATGTTGACTTTAAGGAAATTATTTTAACAAATTATATTAATTTGTCTGTAGCGTGCCTCTTTTTAGAAATTGTTCGTACGTAGAACATGCTCTAAAATCAATTGAGATAAAAAGCCTTTTATTAGCTTAAGTTTGTAGTGAAACAAGAGACATAGTGTTTAAATGGTCTGTTGAAAGAGCAATGTCCGCGACTACGCTTACACCTCTGTATATGGCTAAAAAGTCCTATCACTTTCAAATTGCGAAATTGTGGACTTGAAACAACACTTTTAACGTTGTCATTGCTTTCTTATAAAAACGCCAGATTTCCTATTCAGTTTTCTTCTTGTTGTCAGCAGAAAAATGAACTGGATGATAGACTATTATATGATAATTACCGTAATCTAGAGTTCAAACTTTCATTGACAAAACAAAAGAAAATGATCAGGTAAATTAAAGTGCTTGATGAGAAGTTGCTGGTCAGATGTAATCATGAAATAAATGCCCCGATAGCTTAAAAAAAATATGTATTAAACCTCGTTTTCATCACCATGAATAAGCCCACAAAAGGTGCATTCTATTTTGTTGACAAAATTAATCTACTTTTGACAAACCTAAGAAGGAAAATAAAATTGTCTATAATTTTATTTTATTCTATTGTCATATTGATAAAATATGAGGTTTCTTTCACAGCAGAAAGCCAGAGAAGGACGACCAGAGAGCGTAGGCATACTCTCCGTGTTCTTGTACTCTTATCCACACCTTGTCGTTCTTGGCCATTTTAATTATCGCTGTTGCTGAACCACTTTCACTGTTGATACTGCCCACTTTACCATTGACAAGGTTATAACCAATAATTTCATCATTTCTGACGATAGCTGTGCTAAATCTCCTTCCGTGAGTTGTGGCTATAGTCCATGTAAATGAGTAGATACCATCAACTGGAGCCGTGAATTTCTCCGTACTTCCGTCGTAAGCTTGTCCTGAATTAAGGGTTACTTTCCCGAATATGACAACGGCTTTAAAAGCCAGATTTTGCTTGAATTTTTCTATACGTACATGGAATGCGATGATACCTACGGGAAAATTTCGTTTATTAAAGTGTGTATTTTGTGAATTATTACTAATGAGATACTACTGTAAAATCTTATTTTTGGGTCAAATTTTTGTGATTTAAGAAAATTTGGATTTTGAGTGGTGATTTGATTTCATGTATAAAGAATTATTGAGAAGATATAATACTGAAGTTTTACTTTCCGTGGTGAACACGAATACATTTGTCTCTTTATATATCAAAATTAATGAAAATAACCCCTCCACCGCCAAAAAATCGATTTCACAATATATATTTTTTCCAATAATTCAGATACTGTGGAAAAATCAAAATTCGTGGGAGCAATAATAATGGTGCAATCAAGATGGTAGATACAAAAGGATTAAATTTAAGAGCAATACGATCATAATAAAACTTATTTACCTTTCTTTTTCCTTTGCTGATGATTTTCGTCTAGAAGTCCCAACTCTTTACATACAGCTTTATAGCTTTTGATTTCTTTAATGAAATCCCTAGCGTCTACTTTTGCAAAAACTTCGAACGGCAATAGCAAAGCCATGCATATCAATATGCCTTTTAAGGTCCTTCAAATACAAATTATGCAAAACGATACATAATCATTATAATGGAACATTAATAAAACCATGTTATACTCTTGACATACCAACCTTTAAATCCTTTAAATCATTTTTAACATTTCTGTTGCAAGCTCTAATATTGTATGATTCTGAAATTTAACTTCCGGACAGCTCTAGTCTTTTCGATGAATGTTGATGAAATGCTATTTACTATATTTGGAACGAGTTCGGAATTCGGGTCGGGTTCGGTGTATGATTAGTTATGTTGTATGTGTATTGAAAAAACGCATGTTGTTGATCGTCACAGCTAGGCCTATCAATTATTCGTCCAGATAGCACGAATTAACATGGTGGCAGCGATGTGTGGACTCTGAAAACGTCTCAACGCTCCATATCGGCATATTTTAGGTGACTTTGAACATTACAAACTGATATTTGTACGAGTAAAGTTTGACTTTTTGTGCATCCACGTGCTCCCGCCATTTTCATATATGAAACATGGGCGAAGCAGAACCAACCCCCAGTGCAGGTATATAACTGTCCTTTTCGATTACCGCCTGAGTTAGAATTAACAACAGGAAATGTGTCAGAAAATTTTAAGAAATGGAAAAGACAAGTCGAGGTGTATCTCGCAGCTTCCGGTGGCACAGAGAAGGCCAAAGAAGTGCAGGTAGCCATAATACTCAGTTGTGGAGGCCCCCACGTGGTAGAAATTTATGACCAATTCAAGTGGGACAATGGTAATGACAAAAATGACCCTGATAAACTGTTTCAGAAATTACAATCTTATTGTAACCCAAGATCAAATGAAGTACTTGAATCACACAGATTTTGGAAGCTCCCATACCAAGATCCATTTGATAGTTTTCTCACAGATCTGAAGACCCGTGCAGCATCTTGCAATTTCAAAGAACCTGACAGAATGATGAGAGACAAAATAGTGTTCACGGTTACTGGAAAATTACAGGAACTTCTACTCAGAGAGGACAAACTCACACTCGACAGAACTATACAAGTGTGTAGGGCGTATGAACAATCAAACAGACAGGTAAAGGAGCTACGTGAAACCACTCTGAAAGTAAACAAACTACAGAAATCTGACAAGTACATGCACAGTAAACAGAAAACCGAGAAAAAGAAGGAAATTCCAAAGACTAAACAAATTCAGTATAAGAAAAAAAGACTGCGAATTCTGTGGATACAAACACGAACCAGGGAAACAAAAGTGTCCAGCATGGGGAAAATATTGTGAACAGTGTAGTGGAAGGAATCACTTCAAAGCAAAGTGTAAGAAGATACACTCAGTCAGTCAGGAAGAAGAATTCAACGAGGACCAATGGTTGAAAGCTGTTAGTTCTGGTGGCAAAGAAGTGACTGCAATAATGCGTATCAATGAGTGTGACATTAGATTTCAGCTTGATAGTGCCGCAGATGTGAACACAATTTCTCAGCGTTTTGTCCTCAAGGAGCAATGCAAACCTACCAAAATCCGCTTGAACATGTGGAATAAGACAAACATGAAACCACTTGGTGAGGCAGATCTGACAGTCGTCAATCCACGTACACATGAGAAGCACCAACTCAGATTCATTGTTGTTCCAAATCATTACACGTGTTTACTTGGACTTGAGGCGGTGCAGAAATTGAAGTTGATTACAATAAATAACGAGAAATTCATAGCCAGCGTGTCAAGCAGTGATTTAGGTGATTTGGGGACAGCGCATCTACATGTCGACCCAAATGTGAAACCCAAAGCTCTTCCCTGCAGGAAGATCCCTATCGCACTCCAGAGTTTGGTACGAGATGAACTTCAGAAGCTTGAAGATAGAGGAGTACTTATTCCGATTACAGAGCCTACTCCATGGGTCAGCCAGATGGCTATTGCTCGTAAAGCCAACGGCAAGCTAAGACTGTGTATTGACCCGCAAGCACTCAACACAGCATTGATGAGAGAACATTATCGCTTACCTGTTCTTGATGACATTCTACCGCAGCTCAGCAAAGCCAGAACCTTCACAAAACTTGATGTCAAGGAGGCTTTCTGGCATGTTAAGTTGGACGAGGAATCCAGCAGATTAACGACAATGATAACTCCTTTTGGAAGGTATAGATGGGCAAGACTACCTTTCGGACTAAAGGTATCAAGTGAAATATTCCAGAGGAAACTGGATGAGGTGTTTGGAAACATGACAGGTGTTTTCAGTGTGGTGGACGATATCATAATAGCGGGCTGTGGAGAAAACGATGTAGAAGCTGAGCAAGACCATGCTTTAAAGTTGAGAAAAGTGTTGGAGAGATGTGAGGAGAGACACATCATCTTGAATAAAGAAAAACAAGAGATTGGACTCAAAGAAATCTCATTTCATGGACATGTTATTTCCAGAGATGGAGTGAAAATTGATGACAAGAAAGTAAAAGCCATTAATGACATGCAACCTCCTACTGATGTTTCAGGAATTAAGAGACTGTGTGGCATGGTTCAGTACATGGCGAAGTTCCTTCCAGACCTTTCTACCATAATGGAGCCGCTCAGAGAACTCACTCGCAAAGATAAGGCATGGCATTGGTCTAAAGACTGTGAAGCAGCATTTCAGAGGATCAAGAAGATGCTGACAGAAACTCCTGTACTAGCTTACTTTGACCCTGGAAAGGAGGTAGTAGTACAAATGGACAGTAGTAAAGACGGCATTGGTGCAGTTCTCCTTCAAGACGGTAGACCAGTGGAGTATGCATCTAGATCACTGACGGTGTCCGAGAGAAACTGGGCGCAGATCGAGAAAGAAGCGTTATCTGTGTTATATGGTCTGGAACGTTTTGACCAGTATACATATGGCCGTAATGTGACGATACAGAATGACCATAAACCATTAGAGGCCATCCTGAAGAAACCTCTTGCAATGGCACCGAAGCGACTACAGCACATCATGATGAGATGGAACCGGTACGATTTTGATTTTGTCTATGTCAAGGGAACTAACCTTACAATCGCAGATACATTAAGTCGCGCATATCTGAAGAGTGAGGAGGGTAATTTCAGTGAGAGACTAAGAATCATGGCATTGAAGAGTGACGAACCATGTGACATTCCTGATGCTCGCCTTAGTGAAATAAAAGAAGCAACAGAGATTGACGAGGAAATGCAAATTCTCAAGGAAACCGTGATGAACGGGTGGCCAGAGCAGAAACATGAAACGCCACAGAGAATTCGCCATTACTTTGACTTTAGAGACACTATATCATATAGTGATGGAAGTCTATCTTGTTTATGAAATTTGATGTTTTGATGAAATTCTGACAAATTTTCTAAAGAAAAGGGGATGTTGACGAAATGCTATTTACTATATTTGGAACAGGTTCGGAATTCGGGTCGGGTTCGGTGTATGATTAGTTATGTTGTATGTGTATTGAAAAAACGCATGTTGTTGATCGTCACAGCTAGGCCTATTAATTATTCGTCCAGATAGCACGAATTAACAATGAATGCATATTTTTTCATGCAGCATAATTTTGATCATGTATAACATTTCTAAAATAAAAGAATATTTTGCTTTACTTACATTTTTTTTTCTTATTTTCAACAACGTTAAAAATTGCAGAGTTACAACATGTACACAATTTGATCTGAAATATATTACATAGACATGTATGTAATGACTAAAATCTACTCGAATTACATTTTAATGATATACTTACGTGATACACTTACCTTCGATTCAGCGACGTCCTACACTATATGGTCACTGAGAATGGAAGTGAGACACTTCTATTTGAAAATTATTTTATTAGGTGATCGTTACAGGAGACGTCTTATCTGTAAGCACAGCCCTGACGCAGACAGGTTTAACACCCGTCTTTCAGGCCACAGCTACAAAATACTAAGGAATTTGTCCTGTCAAACATTTATCTCATCAGTTGCAAAGCTTCTTTATGTTAAAAAAAATATCCACCTATATATTTTATCAGGTGTTGCAATATCTATATCACATCTGTAAACCTATAAAGTTCAAAATTTAAAACAATCCAAAAGTCAGAATATTCGTATGTGTTAAATTGAAATGATAAAAGTAGTTACGATGTGGTTAAAAATCGTATAATCACTATTATTACATTTTTAACAGTGAAATACTGTAAATTATTTATTGAATAAAAAATGATATTCTGTCACAGTGTGAAAGGATAGCAAAATGATATCCTTTCACAGTATGACAAAAATCAATAGTGCTGTAAAACTCGATTTTCCTTCCAATAACAAGAATGTTGTAAAAAATACTCCTTGGTCCGTTAGAAAATAAATAACCCAATCTGACACAGAATAAAACTGCCAAATATCACCCAAATATCTTGTTGAAATCCTTGCTTAGAACGTTTTCAATTTCACAACACTTAGCTATGACGTCTCAACCGCTCAATTTCGACGTCTAGTAGCCAATGGCTTTTTAGAAAA